TATGAGACAGACTCCAGAGATATTAGAGATTGAATAGATAGAATTCACCAATGAATCAGAATCTAAGTAAATGAAAGAAAAAGAAATCAAAGATGATGTTAAGGTGGAATCTGAGTAAAGGTTGTAAGGACTTAAGGGCTTTACGCTAAAGGGCTTTCAATATCTAAACTGATTTATTTATGTAAAGATAATTTCAAAAGCATAACCAACATACTTGACTAATACAACTTTTATTTTTCATGCTAAAATTTTTACAAATTTTATTGTGTCATACACAATTACAAGAGTTAACAGTTACAAGTGAATTAAAAATAATAGTATTTGGGGGCACTTCTCATTTTACTATCATAAGCATGTTTTGTTACATGAACAGCAACAATAGTTAACTGCTCGACTTGGAAATTTAATAAGTGTTATGATGGAGGCTAATGTATAATATGAAGAGTAAGTACCCTATACACAGTCTCATATCTATATTACTCTTTACTCCATAATTAGAATCATGGGTTAGAATCTACCCAGTAATGCCATCATTCAAATATTTGACCAGGGAGGTCAAGTCAGCAAGCATTTCAAATTATTTTCCAAAATCTTCTGTAATTTAGTTCTACAAGGAAATATAAAACAAAACACTCAAGATATGGCTTGCTGATACTTTATGCCTAAAACAAACCATTACATAATGAACTTATGCATGTTTTGCAAGTTGGCATATGCTCCATGTCACATAATAATTTTAAGATGAATCACCCAACTACAGCTGATGCTGCATCTCCCAGACTTCTAGTTTCTAAAATTCTGGGGAAGTGAAACAATTTACACTGTAACAGTCTACATGGTAGTAATATTACCTCTTGGCCATTGGCTCAATACTAATTCCTTTTGTTTTTTTAGTATACAAAATATGCTGAAAACATTTAAACACATTTCATTTAATGTAATTAAACAGAAGGCAACAATTTCCTTCTAGAAGAATTAGATTTAGCTATGAAAAACTTGACGTTTGTTGTATTAATTTATGAAATATTTTTTTGGATCAATACAGACCATAGTATATTTTTAAACTTACAGCCTGTGCTAAACACATGTAAAATCAACTACAAACATAAGCAATCACATTATTTGTTTTAAAAAAATTAAAATTACCATTTTTCCCCAGTAGTAACTTTATAAACATATTATTTGCTTTCTTCCAAATTAAGGATAATTTTAAAAATCCACTGTGAAATTTACATTCTGACTAAACACAAAAATACACAAATATTAGTTCTAATCAGAAATTTCAGCTGACAAATGAAAATGTTTATTTTGAAAATAAGAAGATCTTGGATAGAGAAGTGAAATTTTTGTTCCAAGAACATTGTAAATATATTGTTTTCATGTAAAAATACATTTTTTAAAGAAATAATGTTTAACAGTCTTAACCCTACCTTCTCAAACACATTTTTCCCTTAAAATAAAAGTTTAAGATAAACATCTCATTTCAAATATTTTACAAGATAAATCAAATTAATTTTTCTTATATGAATGTGAGCCAAGTATTTGCTGCTTTCAAGATGGCATGACCTAATGTAACAACTTTTGGCTTGCAACTTAATAGCTTGAAAGTCAATTTATGCTGCTAATCAAAGAAGGTTGATATGTATTTGTAAATTTAAAATTTTTCATCTTTTAAAAGAAATAAATCCTAAGAAATAATACATTTTAAAAATCAATGATAAACATTTTTATTACACCAAAGATCTACAAAACAATAAAGCCTCCTAATATTATTTTTGAAAACAGTTGATCCTTGAACAACACAGGTTTCCACTGCAGAGGCCAATTTATATCCAAATTGAACAGTGTAATTTAAACCCACATTATTCAAGGGTCCACTCTGCGGTTGGTTGAAAATCTGTATATGGCCTATCAAACACCTCAAAGTTTTATATGTTAAGTGCAACAACCAATATATTTTTGCAATCACTTTCAAAGACTGGAAAGAAAATATGCTAATTACAAGATCAATAATGCTTGAGTTACAGACTTGTAAATCTTGAATCTGCCACTTAAAATCTTAACTATAACTTCCTTAAAAGTCAATTTTATCAGATATAAAGTGGGAGGTAACAACAGTATCCACCTTAGAGGGCTCTTCTGAGGAGTAACATAATGCACACAAAAGATTAATACAGTATGTGACACAGGAAGTTAACAATAAATACTAGCTATACCTAGCAGTGACTTAATGGTTAAGTACCTAACAAATTATATTCTTAAATACGATGTAATCATTATTTAAAGAATTAAGAACTCTAAAAAAGAAAAAATAGTGTGGGAGACAGTTGGGGACATGCCCTCCAATGAAATATCCAGAATTATATTGCAATAATAATAAGGCTAAGAACCACAAAGGACTCATTAGACTAACATTTGAAGTCTCCTAGGTTACTTTTATTGTGTTTTGGCAGTCATTTCCTATACATTTTAACACTGCACTGTGTCATTTTCAAACTACAATTCAGAAGATCTGAAGTGAATTTTATTTTCTTTTTTGAATTTTATTTTGTCATGAATTTTTAGAAAATTAACTCATTGACCTAAACAAAAAAGGCATAGAAAAACTGTACACAAATTAAAAGTCATTTACATGTTATGTATTATACAGTAACCATTTTAGCAATTTCAAGTAATTTGTCTGGTATCTAATTTTCATACTGTTCATATTTCAAATCTCAAAAAATCTCTATTATTTATGAATAGTCTATTCTGATGACATGTCATATCTTTATTGGAATGATCAAGTACTAAATTCTACAAAAACATTAAGCTATAGATTATGGTCCAAAATATTTTATTGGTGTTAATTTCCCATTTAAAATATTGCAGGTACTAACTTAAGTTACCCAAACCATAGTCCACAATATTATTTTGAGTGTGACTATTAAGCATGTGAACAGTTCCTCTAATTTTTGATCATACTAACCGGAGTCAATGACATTTCCAATGGATATATTAAATGACAGAGCACAGATATAGGAGACAGAAAAACTAGGTCTGGCCCAGTCAAAGTATTTACTAAATATGTTAAGTTCAGCATGTCCTTCAACTTCTCCATGCCTCTCCTTCCTATTTCAAAAGAGGAGGATCCTACCCTCTTTTGTCTAACTCACAGGGCTATGGTAAATCACCTAAGAAAAACATATGAAAGTGCTCTGAAAAGGACACGGTGCTATATACATGTGATATCAACACACACGGGCTTGTTATAGTATTATACCTTGTTAGAATGGCCAGGCTATTAAAAGTGTAATTTAAGAGAAAGTTATCCTTGGAATTATCAGAAAAAAAATTGTAATATCTTTACCATGTCCTTTGGATAAGGTTTGAGAGCAGTTTTAAAACAATGCACTGATACCTATCCTATTACCATGTAAGAAACTACATCGGACAATGACCTAAGAAAAGATAAGCCTCATTTATTCTTTCCAGATTTTTTAAAAATGGCTATAATTCGGCCTTACCAGAATGTGTTTCTGTAGTGTTATTAATATTAATTTATAGCCGGCTGTTTTAGGCTTATTCTGGTAGTTACTTAACCCACTCTGAAAGTAGTCATAGGTGATCTTTATTTCTCCACTACCTTTTTAAAAAATACTTACTTTAAATTCTAGGGTTTCTTTTTTCTGACTTAAACTCACAGAAAGTAGGTATAATAAGTTTTTAAAGAGAAAAAAAATATTCAAAACTAAATTAATAAAAAGCAAATGTTCCCTCACTTTCCCGCCTCTTCATTCGATACTATGAATCCAAAAGAATTTTAGAACCACAAATCAACAAAAAAATCCATTTAATTTACACTATATAATTTTCCAAGGTTAAAAGATACAAAGCAAGAAAATAAATTAGGATTGATTTTTGTAGAAGATGATTCTGAAGAAATGAATGTGATTTTGAAGGAAACAGGATATGAGGACAAGATGAGAACAAAACAAAAAGTAAGATTTTGGCCGAAACCGGTTTGGCTCAGTGGATGGAGCGTCGGCCGGCGGACTGAGGGGTCCCGGGTTCGATTCCGGTCAGGGGCATGTACCTGGGTTGCGGGCGCGTCCCCGGTGGGGGATGTGCAGGAGGCGGCTGGTCGATGTTTCTCTCTCATCGATGTTTCTGACTCTCTATCTCTCTCTCTTCCTCTCTGTAAAAAATCAATAAAATATATTTAAAAAAAAAAAAAAAAAAAAAAAAAGAAGTAAGATTTTGTAAAACATTGTTTGGTTTTACACATAGTCACTGAAATATTAGTATCTCTAAGTCACTAGCTACATGGGAAACTAGATGGCTAATCGATCAGGCATGTGGAAACAGATTTGGAAGATCTGATATAAATGATTGCATTGTTGAAGTCACAGGAGTAGAAATTATGAGGTGAAAGACTCAGGGTCTAGATAATACTCATTAAAAGATGTCAGAAGAGCCAAAACCGGTTTGGCTCGGTGGATAGAGCATCGGCCTATGGACTGAAGGGTCCCGGGTTCGATTCCGGTCAAGGGCATGTGCCTTGTTTGCGGGCACATCCCCAGTAGGAGGTGTGCAGGAGGCGGCTGGTCGATGTTTCTCTCTCATCGATGTTTCTAGCTTCTCTATCCCTCTCCCTTCCTCTCTGTAAAAAATCAATAAAAATATATTTTTAAAAAAAGAAAAAAAAAAGATGTCAGAAGAGAATGAGGGAAAATGAAATGACAATGATTTGAAAAATATAAATAGAATCAATACACTAGAGAAGTGTGGGATTTCAAGAATGGGAGTAGTCAAAAACTAAGGAAAAAACTTAAAAGATTGGGTTTGACCAGAATTCCATAATAAATGTGAAGAGCTGATTTTAGCAGTAACACTGGATTAAGTTAGCAATAAATTAAGGGAAGATAAGTAGCTAGAAAGGAGGGCTTCATAATAATTATTAATAAGTAAATAATAAATTCAGTATTGAGTTATTAATAGAAATAATTTAATACAACATGTTTCAGAATTGAGTCAGACTGTTTAATAATTATGTTTCAGACTTAAGTTAGACATTTTGGGGGAGGTGGCCAGGGGAGCCTTATTCCTGTAAGGAGGCAACAGAAAGATACTAATCAAGCCACCCCCTCCCCCTTTTTTTGAATAGCATAGTCAGTCCCTACACTCAATGGTATGTATTTAAAAGGTATTTAGACCTTAGTAAGTAAAAAGGCAAAAAGCCCAGTTGGTAAGTGGTATTGAAAGCATAAAACAACAAAGTGAATAAGTCAATAATTTACAGTTGAAAACAATTTTAAATAAAATTCAAACCAAAAATAGAAAACCTTAAAAATGTAACTGCTAGAGGCATGATATCCATGTTATGTGCAAAGTGATTAAATATTTAAAAGCATGATATAGATTTCATTTTGATATAGCCACTTTCATTCAATGACAGGATTTCTTGGATAATTTTAACCAAAGAAATTTCTACCTCAAAGCATCCATAAAATTGATAATTTGGGTACCTAATAGTTATGAAAAGTGTCTTCACAATTTTTAGTATGAAAAGCAATATTAAAAAAATGGAGCATCAAAATATTTTATTTAAAATTTATTTTATGCCTAATCTAATATGTAAATGGAAATATATCCACATTCTATAGGTTTCTGAATTTCATTTCCTATTTTATTTTTATGAATATCTTACTTTCTTTTGAATTTGTATCACTTGACATTAAAGCTGTATAAAAGCCATGCAGTTTATTTACAATATTATACATTAATTATGTTTGAAGATTATACCAAAATTTCACAAAATTATAATTAAAATGAAAAGACAAGTGAAACATTTAGAGACTTTAAAAATTTTAGGTATAGAATTTTGCAAAGATTATTTTGGCTTATTTGTAAGTGTTATTCAAGCACTGGCTTGAAATAAGATGGACAAAAAATGCAAATGAGTAGAATTTCAACAAATGAAAAACTAAAAATGTTTAGCTAAAAGTAATGAAATACGATATCATATAGATGAAATACTTCCTTGTAGCAATGGGAATTAGAAAACAGGAAAAAAGGTTATTCCTTAAAAGTCTTTCATAAAGAATAAGCTACCAGTAATAAGTCTATAAAAACTTTCAGAAATAAAGTTTCTTGAATTATGTTAATCACCAAACTTATGTTTTCAGTAGTGATTGGAGCTATGAACCTTAAATATTTATTTTACTGTAGGGTGTCTCAGTTTCCACCTTTGGGGAGTGGGGGTGAAGGGGTGGGGGGAGAAGAAAACCAATCAATAACCTTAGATTTAAGTAAAGATCCTGGTACCAATATCATGTACTTGGGAGTAGAGAGCTGCAGAGACTTGCAAGTCCACATACTTTTAGCTGTATAGAATAGTGTAAATACAGAGTAGTGTAAAATTTAGGTTGTTCAATGTATGATCCCCTATCAAAGTAAGTCCCTCATCCTTCAGAGTTTAAAAGATATCAATAGGGCCCTGGCCAGTTTGGCTCAGTAGACGAAGTGTCGGTCAAGGGCACATACCTCAGTTGCAGGCTCAATCCCCGACCCCATGTCTCTCTAAACATGGATGTTTCTCTGTGTCTCTCCCCCTCCGACTCTTTCTAAAAATCAATAGAAAAATATCCTCAGGTGAGGATTAAAAAAAAAAAATCAATACTGTTTCTTCTTCTCTAGCAGCATCTCGTCCAGCTTTCACTGTTGTGGCTGAAGGACATTCAGGTACTCAGACTGCCCCAGCTGGTAAGTCGTGTTCCTTCCACAGTCGACGTACTGGTACCTCTCCTGGGATATCTGTTCAGAGTGTCCAAAGTATGTTGTTGTCACAGTGACTCTAAAAATAAAATAAATGCGGGGAAACATTGAATAGTTACATATAAAAAAGTTTTCTCAATTGAGAATACTTTTATACATTAAAATTCTCTCCAGAGAGAGATTATTTGACTGATGATAGCTTCATATTCTGGACATGGGTCTCTTAGGGAATATTTTCCCAACAGACAACAGAAATGCTGCCTGAGCAAGCCCTATCCAAATAATTATATACAACAAATGTATTTTTTTTCAAAACACCTATCTTTAGTTAAAAATATAGCATAAGTTCATTATATTATTAAAAGTCATACAGTTATAGAAAAAGGGTTCATCAAATGTTAGGCTCATGGCCCAAATTCCAAACCAATAACCTACAATGTTTTAACAGCTTAGGGCATTGGTCGGCAAACTGGGGCCCCTTGAGTGTGGTTCTTCCACAAAATACCACGTGTGGGCGCGCATGTACAGTGCGATTGAAACTTCGTGGCCACACTCAAGGGGCCAAAGAGCCGCATGTGGCTTGCGAGCTGCAGTTTGCCGACCACTGGCTTAGGGTAACACCCAATATACAAACCAGTAACATTATTTCTCCCCACTAACACTAATGATCATTTACCAAAGAGAGCAAGGAATTGGATGCTAAGTTCAGTCCTCCCCTCTGTCCAACCCCTGACATTTTCCTGAGGTCTTGCAAGGTCCAGGTTCACTATTCAGCAGCATGTGATCCTGTACTAATACTTCTTGAGCTCCCATTTCCTCATTTGTAACATGGGATAATAGTTATTTGACATCAGAGCACTCTTGTAAGACATAACACCCAAATGAGATGGCATTGTAAAAATGCTGCGTATGCTCCAAGTCAGTGATTTTCAACCCTGTTCAATTCAAGGCACACATAACCTAATTACTAAAATTCTGAAACAGACCAAAAACTTATTTGCTGATCAAAAGAAGGGTATATTTTTGATTTACAAATAAATAAAATAATAGTGATTACCTACCCTTTTTGCTTCAAAGTAAGTCAGATGCAAACTTATTATGCAACATGACCAATAAGATGCAACTCTATTATGTGACCTATATACTTATGGTTCATGACAGGGCATTCACACTAGAAGGCTATATTGTGTTGACTGTTGTCATTTTTTTGTATTTGACAATCTAAGAGAAAAGAGGTCAATGTCCCTGACTAGTCAGGTATTGCATGCTTTAAAAATCCTCAGAGTGCACCAGTAGAAAATCGCTGCTCTAAGCCAATGTTATGAATCTGAAATTTAAACAAAGAAATGTCTCTTTCAAAAAATTCATACTCACTGCATCATGAGAACTATGTTATGCACTTTGATGGATGGCAGTGTACAGAAGTCACTGTTAAAGAGAAAACAATGTGAACACATGATACCTATGACATAAATGTAAAAGTTTAATTACAATTCTTCCTATGTTAAAGCTAAGTGATACTATTAAGATATAATAAGCAGTATTGGTTGATCATTTCCTCTATATCATATGATGATTAATATTTTCATGCCTTCTTATTCTATAAACAAATATGCTTTCTTACTATAGCAGTTGTAGAGCTGTTTTAACATGGGCCACAACTTACTTTCACTTTTTAAAATGTTTTTATTGATTTAAGAGAGAGAGGAAGGGAGAGAGAAGGAGAGCCAGAGAGAGAGAGAAAGAGAGAAACATTGATGTGAGAAACAACAACTGGTTGCCTCCCAGACCAGGATCAAATCTGAAAACTGGGTATGTACCCTGACTGCGAATGGAACAGGTGATCTTTCAGTGCACGGATGACGCTCAACCAACTGAACCACTTTGGCCAGGGCAATTTACATTTACTTTTTAAAAATAATTATTTTTTTATTGATTAAGGTATTACATATGTGTGCTTATCCTCCCATTGCCCCCACTTATGCCCTCACCCCCCTGGTGTTGGTGTCCATTGGTTAGGCTTATATGCATGCATACAACAAGTTCTTTGGTTGATCTCTCCCCTTTACCTTCACCCTCCTCTACCTTCCCTCTGAGGTTTGACGGTCTGATCGATGCTTTTCTGTCTCTGGATCTGTTTCTGTTAATCAGTTTATGTTGTTCATTACATTCCACAAATGAGTGAGATCATGTGATATTCATCTTTCTCCGACTGACTTATTTTGTTTAGCATAATGCTCTCCAGGCCCATCCATGCTGTTGCAAATGGTAAGAGTTCTTTTCTTTTTTACAGCAGCGTAGTATTCCATTGAGTAGATGTACCACAGGTTTTTAATCCACTCATCTGCTGATGGGCACTTAAGCTGTTTCCAAATCTTAGCTACTGTAAATTGTGCTGCTATGAACATAGGGGTGATATCCTTTCTGATTGGTATTTCTGGTTTCTTGGGATGTAGTCCTAGAAGTTGGATTACTGGGTCAAATGGAAGTTCCACTTTTAGTTTTTTGAGGAAACTCCATACTGTTCTCCACAGTGGCTGCACCAGTCTGCATCCCCACCAGCAGTACACGAGGGTTCCTTTTTCTCCACATCCTCACCAGCACTTGTCATTTGTTGATGATAGCCATTCTGACAGGTGTGAGATGGTACCACATTGTTGTTTTGATTTGCATCTCTCGGATGATTAGTGACTTTGAGCATGTTTTCACATGTCTCTTGGCCTTCTGTATGTCCTCTTTCGATAAGTATCTATTTAGGTCTGTTGCCCATTTTTTTATTAGGTTGTTATCTTCCTTTTGTTAAGTTGTATGAGTTCCCTATAAATTTTGGAGATTAAACCCTTATCGGAGATAACATTGGCAAATATATTCTCCCAGGCAGTGGGCTTTCTTGTTGTTTTGTTGATAGTTTCCTTTGCTGTGCAGCAGCTTTTTATTTTGATATAGTCCTATTTATTTTCTTTTTAGTTTCCATCGCCCTGAGCTGTATTGGTGAAGATAATGCTTTGGCATATGCCTGAGATTTTGTTGCCTATGGATTCCTCTAAGATTTTTATGGTTTCCCGTCTTACACTTAAGTCCTTTATCCATTTTGAGTTTATTTCTGTGTATGGTGTAAGTTGGTGGTCTAGTTTCATTTTTTTTTGCATGTATCTGTCCAATTTTCTGAACACCTTTTGTTGAAGAGACTGTCTTGACTCCATTGTGTGCTCTTTGCATCCTTTGTAAAATATTGAGCATAGTGGTTTCTGGGTTCTCTATTCTATTCTGTTGGTCTATGTCTGTTCTTGTGCCAGTACCAGGCAGTTTTGAGAACAGAGGCTCTGTAATATAGCTTGATATCTGGTATTGAGAAACCTCCTACTTTGTTCTTCTTTCTCAAGATTGCTGCAGCTATTTGGGGTCTTTTTTTTATTCCAGATGAATTTTTGAAGAGTTCATTCTAGGTCTATGAAATATGCCATTGGTATTTTAATGGGGAGTGCACTGAATCTATAAATTGCTTTGAATAGTATGAACATTTTAATGATGCTGATTCTACCAATCCATGAACACAGTCTGTTCTTCCATCTGTTTACATCTTCCTCTATCTCTTTTTTCAGTGTCCTGAAGTTCTCCGAGTACAAGTCTTTTACCTCTTTAGTTTATTCCTAGGTATCTTAATTTGTTTGGTGAAATGGTAAATGGGATTTTTTTTGTTAAATCTCTCTTCCGTAAGTTCACTATTGGTATATAAAAATGCCATAGATTTCTGGGCATTAATTTTGTATCCTGCTACATAGCTGAATTCATTTATTAAGTCTAATAGTTTTTGATGGAGTCTAGGATTTTGTATGTACAGTGTCATGTCATCTGTGAATGACAGTTTTACATCTTCTTTTCCAATATGGATACCCTTTATTCCTTCTTCTTGTCTAATTGTTATGGCTAGCACTTCCAGTACTATGTGGAACAGGAGTGGTGAAAGTGGGCATCCCTGTCTTATTCCTGTTCTTAGGGGAAATGGTGTCAGTTTTTGTCCATTGAATATGATGTTGGCTGTGGGTTTGTCATATATGGCTTTTATTATGTTGAGGTATGATCTCTCTATTCCCACTTCGCTGAGGGTTTTTATAAAAAATGGGTGTTGGATTTTGTCAAATGCTTTTTCTGCATCAAATGATATGACCATGTGATTTTTATCTCTCAATTTGTTTATGTGATGTATCATGTTTATTGATTTGTGGATATTGTACTATCATTGCATCCCCGGGACAAATCCTACTTGGTCATGGTGTATGATCTTTCTGATGTACTGCTGGATCCGATTTGCTAAGATTTCTGTTGAGAAATCACTTGATAATCTAATGGGAGATCCCTTTTATGTAACTTTCTGTTTCTCTCTTGCAGCCTTTAAGATTCTCTCTTTGTCCTGAATGTTTGCCATCATAATTACGATGTGTCTTGGTGTGGGTCTTTTTAGGTTCATCTCACTTGGGATTCTCTGTGCTTGTGTGACTTTTTTCTTTCCCAAATCAGGGAAGTTTTCTGACATTATTTCTTCAAAAAGGTTTTCTAACCATTGTTCCTCTTTCTGTTGTTATGGTACTCCTATTATTTGTATGTTGCTTCATTTCATGTTGTCCCAAAGCTCCCTTAGGCTCTCCTCCTGTTTTTTAATATTTTTCTCCAATTGAAGTTCAGTTTGGGTGTGTTTTGCTTCCGTCTTCTAATTCGCTAATTCGGTCCTCCACTTCTCCTAGTCTACTGTTGAAACTTTCCATAGTGTTTTTTTTCTTATTGCAGCTATATCACTCTTTATTTCCTCTTGATTCTTACATAAGTTGTTTATTTTTTTCATCCATCTGGTTTATGAACTATATAACCTTTATGCTGAATTCTTTGTCTGACATATTGCATGCTTCCGTTTCACTTAGCTCCTTTTTCCGCAATTCCTCCATTCCTTTGGGGGTTTCTTTGTTTCCCCATTCTCACCGAAGTATCTAGGCGTCGAGTCATGCGGGGGCTGCTCCTCGGGCAGTTGAAGCTCCTTGGGTGGCGGCTTCTCCTCGGGCAGTCATGGCAGTAGCTACTCCTCAGTTGGCAGTGGCTCCTCTGCTGTGTGCTGCTTGCGCAGATGCTCGCAGCAGTGGTGGCTCCTCTGTCTGGCGGGGGCAGGCTGCTCACGTGGCTGCTGCTCCTTGGACGGCAACGGGATGCTCATGCTGCTTCTGCTCCTCGGACAAGGGTGGGCTGCTCGCATGCTGCTGCTCCTTAGATGGAGGCGGGATGCTTGCACGGCTGCTACTAGTGTAGTTGTGGTGCCCTAGGCTAGAGCATTGGACTGGCCAGAGGGGAGTGCGCCTCAGAACTCACAGGATCCCGTGGCCAGGGTGGCTGAAGTCTCGGTGACCATAGGACCACAGCTGAGGCAGCAGGTCCTTGGTGGGGGTGGCTGTAGACCCTGGGTGGTGTCTGAGGGCAACCTGGGTGGAGGTGAGGCTGGGTTCCCAATCACAGCAGCTCTCCCCTTCAAGAAGGCACAGCCTCTGCAGTAGACCAGCCACCCCGGGACCGTTTGCAACAGTCCTGCAGGGTCCAACTGCCCCTCACTCACGTACACACACACAGACACCCCTTTTGTTCCCTCACTCACTCACACTCTCTCCCTCACTGACGCCATCTTCTTGCCTCTGTAGTTGAATCTGGAGTGTTATTGACCTGTTCGTGAATGGAGTCTCCTCTCTGGGTGTCTGGTTATGTGGCTCGCTCTCTACCACATTGATCAAACAGGAGAAAATGCAAGACACAAAACCCAACACAAAGGCAACAAAACACGAATGTACTCACGACACTGATAACCCCACTATTAGTGACCACCAGAGAAAAGAGAATTGGGGGAGAGAAAAGAGCACAAATGATATCAAGGAGAGAAAAAATGGTAACAGAGAAAAGAAAAAGAATAAGAAGAAAAAGGAAAAAAATATATATGGGGAGAAAACACCACTGAACAAACAGATAAACCAAAAAATGCAAACACCAAACAGCCAGAAAGGAGGGTGGGGGCCGAATCTGTAGAGGCCGGGCTTATATACAGAAAGTAAGGTTAAGGAATTGGATGAATATGGGGAGGGCCTCAGTTCAGTATAGATGAAGTCGAAAGAGGATGAGTGGATAAGAAGAAAGATGTTACACCTGTCCAAAGGGACATGGCCTTGGTGTCGTATGGCTTCCTTCCGACCCTCCAGGCTTGGAGGTCTCCCACCTCTCCAGCCCAGATCCCTGATTTTACTGTTCTCTAGGCGCCCTCTGCCCTTTCCGGCTGCGAATTGTCTCACCAGCTGTGTTCACTTTGCCAATTCAGGGTGGATATTATTCGATTTAGTTGCTCCCTCAATCTGCTGCATGACAAGGCTTGGGACACATCTGCCTATTCTGCTGCCATTTTGTCTCTCTCCCTACTTTTACTTTTCAACTTTTGAAATTTCACTAATCAGTTTGTAGTTCAGAAATTTTATATCAGGCTGATAGAGGATAAAAATTTATCACTGTTTTACTTAGCAAGAGTTAATAATCATTTAGAACCAATTTATAAGCTTTAGAATATCAAAACAACAGAGCATTACACATTACAGTGGAACATCGGTTTGAACTTAATTTGTTCCACAAGTGATTTTTTTGAAAACCAAAATCATTTTTTCCTATTAGAAATAATGTAAATTGAATTAATCCATTCCAGACCCCCAAATGATTCCATTTTAACCTTTCTTACATAGAGTACATGTCTAATGTACTGTTTAATCTAAAATAAACACTTTATTTCTTAAATTTATCAAACCACCCCTTACTAGCCTTAAAGGAATCACTTTCAGCACTTGGTCCAGGGGTGTCATTCAGGTCAGCATGCAGTGTCTTTGCTTGTTCATATATCACTGCCTCTGAGATGCTATCACTGGCTAATGGCTTTTCATTTATCCAAATCAACAGCAGTTTTTCTACCTATTCAATAGCCTGTAATCATTGTTTCTTTCATATCGTTAGCAACACTAGCACTCTTTTTATTTTCCCCATTTTTTTAAGAACTTTACCTTCTTTTCCTAAAACATCAATGTCATTATATATTTTATTATTTTTTATTTTAATTTTTTTAATTTAAATTCTTTATTGTTGAAAGTATGACATATGTCTCCATTTCCCCCGTTGACCTCTCCTGCATGCTCTGACCCTTTCCTAATGTTTTTATTGATTTTTAGATAGGAAGGGAGAGGGACGGAAACACCATTGATTTGCACGCCCTCTACTGGGATTGAGCCTGCTTCCCAGGCATGTGCTCTTGACTGGAATGGAATCAGGAACTCTTTAGTCCACAGGCCAACGTTCTATCCACTGAGCCAAACCTGCTATGGCCATTAGCACTTTTGAGGACCTTTTTATGTTTTAACACATTGTATGCGGGAAACGTATTTATACATTTTACATTGACTGGTAGTAGAGCGCGGGACACGTATTTTATAGACGTGGGATACGTTTTTTATAGACTAGCGGTAGAATGCGGGTAACGTATAAATACATAAACTAAAGTTATCGTAATTTTACTGAATGTTGCCATTTGCGCAAAAAAATTAGCAAAAATGGCCTGCGCCACCTGTTAGCGCGCGATAAAAACTACCCGCAAACAATATGTTAAAATTGTACTAATGGTTGATTTAGCCAGCAAAAAAAGCATTCTCTCCCAGTTGCCTGAGAGAGATTTTTTGTCATGCTGAGGTATCAGCATAAACATTGAAAACCAAAGTTTGGTTCATTTTGACCCAGATTTTTTTTTTTTTTCCTGTGAACTGGGTTGAGAACAGAATTGTTCGAGATGAGAGACATTTGAGAAATGAGGCTTGACTGTATTAGCATTATTAATCTTCCTATAATAAAACATCAACAAAAAATAGAATATAGGAGAATATGATTTTAAAATAATAAACATAAAGTGACATGGTATATATGATCTTAATTATGAAAAAAAAAATCAGGTATTGCCATAAATGTCATGTATGTTGAAAAGGGAGAAGAGAAAAATAGAGATGAGCAGAAGCCAGAAGGAACATTCCAAAATGTGGTCTTGTGACTGCTAAGATTATGGGAGATAAAATATACACATATTTACTTCATACTTTATAATTTAACGAGAGAAAATAAAAGTCAGAACTTACTACATGTAACTCATTTCCTCTGCTATGATAGTAGGTACTGTGTAATCAATCTGAAAGGCAAAAAAATAAAAATAAACAGAGAGAATAGGATCAATAATCAAACATTTCAGATACATTTCATAACTTCAAAGAGTTCAGAAATCTCTCCCTTTATGAGTCTGATGCTAAGATTTACTCTTATATATTCACTAGAGGCCCGATGCATGAAATTCGTGCAAGGGGCTCGGCCTTCGCAGCCACAGCGGCTTGCCTCGGCCCTAGCAGCCCCAGCTTTATCCAGAAGGTCATCCAGAAGGACATCCGGAAGGTCGTTCGGCTGTCCGGTCTAATTAGCATATTACGCTTTTATTATTATAGACGGGGCATATTTCAAAGTCAAGTTTTTGAGGAAATCCCCACCTCCCTCAAGGTAGTACAATAAAGCTGAGACTCCTTTAACTTATTCAAAATATTTCATGACTGAAGCTTACCTGTCTCATATCCAGTGGACCAATGTTTGTTATGTTGTTTAAACGTGACTTTCCAATAACTGTTTTTGAAAACTGAACTTGTGCAGTGATGTTTTCAACTTCAACAGCATAATAGTTATTGTTTGTTATATTTAGTGTGTTCTGCAAAAGAAAGGAGGCAGAAAATGTGTAAGTTATCTGAAAATAAGCAAAAGGAAGATGTATTCAAACTAATAAAAATGACTTTAGTTGTGCCATGCTTCATTATTAGAATAAAAGTTTTAACAAAAATGTCAAAGAATATCAAATGAACCAATTCTTTGGTTTTATGTGAGTCCAATGTATTGAATATGCTACAATAATGTAAAAAAAAAAAAAGACCCAGAAATGGTACAGGCTTGGAATGTTAGAAAAGGTATTTGTGGCATTAGCAAAAATTCAATAAAAATAATTTTTAAATTTCATCTAAATGTTTACTAAATGTTAATAAAGTTATTTCTTATTCTAATAAATACAAATATGGCCATATAGCAGTACTTTAAATAAATTTTGTTTAAAAGAAATTGGTATTTTAGCTTATAAACAAATAGAAATTTCTACCAGGTCACCATGGAGAAAAAATGGAAAAGGTGTAAGACTGTTTGGTTGGAAAAAAGATAAAGGTGCACCACTTCTATACTTAGGTAACACTAGGTCCAACTTTTTTTATTCTAATTCACAACTGTCTCAAATTCAGAAACAAATGTTGAAAAGTAAACAGATTATAAATATATTTTTTGGTAGCAATTAATTGTTTAATTCATTTATCCTCCTAAAGGCATTTTCAAATGCTAAATGATTCTGCATACACAACTGACCGTATTTATTATTCACCACTTTCAGCAGAACCAGAAATGAGAGAAGGTCAATACTGTAGACACACAGAAAGCAAACTGACCAGCGAGCTTCACATTTAACCTCTCAACAAGGACAAAGGTTCTAATTAACATCATAAAGGAATGAAGTAATCTATTATCAATATAAATTTTTACTTACTGTGATATTTAAATATATTGTACGCTTTTCATCATCATAACCGACGTATGCTGATTTGACACCAATGTATTTCACGTCGATAGAGCGAGGGAAAAGGAAAAACACAGCCAATCCAGAAATCAGCAGACAGACAAACACAGAAGCCATCACATACAGTTTTCTGAAAAAGAAAATGGAGTATTTAAATATATGTCCACCAAAAATTACACAATGAAACATTTAGAGAGGATACATTTCAACTGGAATTTCCCCCCATTATGCTAGCTGTATAAGATGTATTTTATCAACTTTTTACATTATAAAAGTATTGAGTAGGCTTGGATCTGAGTCTACTAAGTGCTGAAATGTTCTCTTTATAAGATGTACCGGTGTTTACCTTATTGGAGACTGGGATTTCAGGCTTATTACAGATATAACATCACTGCAGTGATTCCCAAACTAGGCTGCACATTAAAATCAAGACAGGGAGCTTTAAAAATATAGATTTCAGGACTTCCTCCTGAATTCCCTAAAGCAGAATTTTCACATGTGAATTTTGCCACTGTGTTTCCCTAAAGTGACTACTCATCAATAACCACCTCTGACGCTCTTAAAACAATGTGATATCAACACGGCTTATCAATTTCACCTCAAGTTTATAGCCATTCTCTGTTGTTATAAAAGGTATTAAAAGATGGCCAGTATGAATATCCACTTCTATAGTTCTGAGATTATTTCCCTAGGTGCTGAATCTTTTCTCCCCTTTATACATATTCTTGCCCTGTGGAAACTGGATTCTACCCCCAGCAGGTTCTTCTTAGGATGTGCTTGTCCTTTTTGTAAGAGTTTTTATCCAGTTTCCCTCAGGTCTTTGAAGGCTTAGGATGGCCCAGTTCTCTCTAATCTTTTCATGGTCCCTTGCTGGATTCCTGTGGCCTTTTTCACACTCTCTCCACGCTGGAGCATGAGGAACACTCCCATTTTAACAGGTTATTCTCAAAGGTATTTGCTGAAAGTCCTCTGAGTGGGATCCTCTTCTTATAGGTATTTGCTTTGGGTATCAGTGGCATTAGGACTCTTAGGAACTCTCTATTTGCTTCCATTCACAATTTCCACACAGCTGCTCAACATGTTAAGTCCTTGCTGTCATCAAGGTTTGAATACCCATTTTTATCCTGTGGCTAGTGGGAACACTCATTTTTAAAAAATAAACATGTTTTCTCTATGTGTGTTTCTTACTATTATTTTAAGTTTGTCTGTTTTAATAAATGGACTTGAGAAGATTCAGATACTATGCTGCTTTCAAGACATTACCCCAACCAGGAATCTTTTTTTTTTTTTTTTTTTTGATGACACAAAAGCATATGAGAGCATTACTTAACAACCTGATAGCATTTTTCCCTTTTAATAGTGTTAACCAAAGTAATTATTATATAGTAGAGGCCTGGTGCATGAAATTCGTGCACGGGGGTTTGGGTCCCTCAGCACAGCTTGCACCCTCTCCAATCTGGGACCTCTTGGGGGATGTCCGACTGCCGGTTTAGGCCCGATCCTTGAGGGAAACTGGCAGTCGGACATCCCTCTTGCAATCCGGGACTGCTGGCTAATAACTGCTCGCCTGCCTGCTGGCCTAATTGCCCCTAACACCTCTGCCTGCCAGTCTGATTGCTCCTAACTGCTCTCCCCTGCCGGCCTGATTGCCACTAACTGCCCTCTCCTGCTGGCCTGATCACCCCTAATTGCCCTTCTCTGCTGGCCTGATTGCCCCTAACTGTCCTCCCCTGCTGGCCTGATCGCCCCTAACTGCTCTCCCCTGCTGGCCTAATTGACCCTAGCTGCCTCTGCCTCGGCCCCCGCCACTGTGGCTTTGTCCAGAAGGAAGGCAGGACAACGGGAAGATGTCGGTCAACCCAGTCTAATTAGCATATTACCCTTTTATTAGTATAGATAATTTGAAAAGCAAAAAACAAAAAAACAAAACAAAAAACAAAACAAAACCCCCACAGCAAAACAATTTGCCACTTTCTTACTAGTATAATCACTTACGTTCTTCTTGGCCTTAATCTCTGATCACTATATGGAATCAATGCCACCAGCTGGTTTTCTTGCCCTAAGAGTTAAAGAAGTTTAAAAATTTATTAACATGGTTAATTAAAAATGTAGTGACTGCTCAACAAAGTCTGGTTTGGAGAGACCAAAATACCATGTGGTTCTCATCACATTCCTTTAGTAAACTGCTCTCAAAATCTTCAGAAATTACCCAACTTGGATCTTTGTATTAGCCATTAAAGCACCAAAGTTAAATTCTCTTTCAAAGCTTTCCATAATGCTTCAATTATTCCTTCCTGACCCCTCAATAATCCTCCCCTCATTTACACTACCCCCAACACACCCACATATAAATATATATTTATTATGTATATATGTCTCTTTGTGTATATATACATATTGCATCTTTGTGTATATATACATATTGCATCTTGGTATTCATTTAGCTAAACTACAATCCTGGTTAAAACCAACCCTTTAGCTACTGTGCCTATAGCCACAGTTAAATGTGAGAGAGAAAAACATCCAACTATACTCACTGGTCTGATTTTAGATCACTAATCTCAAGTAGCCCTTAATGATGCCAACAACCATACTAATTTCCTTAGTTCACACTCTCAACCTGACATACCAAGACCACCATTTCATAACTTTAACTTTTTTTGAAACATCCAATATCTTCTTCCCCATACTCACTCTGAGCACAGAATGTAGCAAACAGAAGAGAACTTTCGCAAGCTCCCACCACCACATCCATCTAAACTATCTACTGCCGTGTCCACACATTCTAACTTCTCTTCTGTTACTAAGAGTAGCCCTCTGCACTAGGTCTAATTGTCCTGGCTCCTGCATTATCAATGCTTTCTCTGTGCATCATTCTCATTAGCAAATATTATTCACTCCATCTTATAAAAATCCCTCTCCTGACCTCACAGCCCTCTCTAGCTATACCACTTCACTCCTTTTTTACATAGTGAAACTCAAAGCAAAAACTATCTTCCCACTATATAACTGCTCCTCCTATGTACTTGATTCCACTCTACACACGATATACATACTTTTGCAGGCTACCAAAACTTTACAGGTCCCCACTGGTCTTTACATCACCAAATCCAATGGTAAGTTCTCAGTCCTCACATTAATTGATCTATCAGTAATATTTAACACAGTTGATCAATTTTTCTCCTTGGTATATGTTCTGTATTTACCTTCTAGGACACCAACAACAGATTTCCTCCTTCTACACTAGCTGCTCTGTCAGTGTCTGCTAATTCTTTCTCAAGTAACTGATCTCAAAATGCAATGCTCGAGGGTTCAGTGCTAGGGTTTCTTCCTTTTTTCCCCCTATACTGCTGAACTTGGTGCTCTTGTTACCTGTGAGACTACAAGACCTTGGTTCTTATCTTCTTAAAGGAAAGATTTCAATCAAGAGACAAAATGCAGAAGAGCAAGCAAGACTTTACTGACGGTAGCAAAAACACATTTAGAAACAAGGAAGGGCATAGAAGAAGCAACTGGAGAACCTAGGCTAGGCTGCCTTGGCTCACTGGGAAGTAAGAGAAAAGGGGGCCTTGGAGACAGGTTCAGGGTTAGCCTGGGACAAATTGCTGCAGCCCATTGCTCCCCTGGTTGCAAGTCTCATGGGGTCCCTTAGAGTTTAGGAGATTCATGCCTGTGGGGGAAGAGAATGGCATGGCCTGCTGGGACCTTTGTTTTCATGAGGTTTTAAAGGGTGGGCATTTAGGAGAGGCCTTAAGGGAGGATCAGCAGAATACCCATTAGCTTTATTCGGATGTACCAGAATGAGATTTATTCTCTTAACCTGTCTGTCCTTGGGTGTGGTTAGCAAATGGCACTAATTGGATTTCAGTTATCTGTCTCCCTGAGTAGAGTGATTTATACTATTTACCCTCTGGTTGGGGAGAAGTACAAACCATTTACTCTTAAGTGTCCTTGTTTAGGGAAGATAGGATTTACTAGGTGGCTGCAAACTGCTGTTTAATTGTCTGTTTAGTTTCCCAATTTCACTTGTCCTAAAATTTTCCTACCTTCTTACTATCCTATAACGCTCTCATCCACCTCAGCTTTAAGTATCACCTGTGTACTGATGACTCCAGCCTACACGTTGCACTTGAATTCCAGGCCCTCATTATAACTGCCTATTGCACATACCCACTTAGATGTCAAATATGCATCTCCAAACATACATAACTAAAACTGAGCTCCTGAGCTCTCTGCTGACATACACCTTCAAACCTTTTCCCTATCCTAATAACTAGTCCATTCTTCCAGTTGCTCAGACAAAATATACCTTTGGAGTCATCCTTGATTTCCCACTATCCACTTCCAGCTGCCAAAAAAGCCCACTGGCCATACCTCAAAAACATATCTAGGTAATCTTCCCCTCCCCTAGTCCGGTACGTTAATCCCTTCAACAAAAATAATCCTTTTATTCTCAGTCACTATCACTGCAAAGATAAAATCATCACATTCAAAGGCCAACTCAAATATAATTTTTCCCAACCCGAGGCATTTATCAGAGACTCTGCTAGACCTTATACTGCCACTCTGTCCTTCCCCTGGGCTTCTCCAGAGTCACATCATCAACTCTAACCAAGCAGATAGTGGAAGAGCACAAACATACTTTTACTATTTCTATTGTTGCCATTGCTCCTAAAATAGCCTGAAAACAGCACACGGGAATTATCTCCTGATTTCTATGATATTCCACAAACTGATATTTTTTTTCCTATTTGACTCATCATCATATGCCATCCCTCTTCATGCAGTTCCTCTTTTGCCAATGCCTGAAATCATTCTTTTTTAAAAAAATGTATTTTATTGATTTTTTACAGAAAGGAAGGGAGGGATAGAGAGTTAGAAGCATCAATGAGAGAGAAACATCGATCAGCTGCTTCCTGTACACCCCCTACTGGGGATGTGCCCGCAACCAAGGTACATGCTCTTGACCAGAATCTAACCTGGGACCTTTCAGTCCGCAGGCCGACGCTCTATCCACTGAGCCAAACCAGTCAGGGCTGAAATCATTCTTTAAAGGGAAAATAAAGGGCACATACCCCTAGGAATTCTTCCTGTTCCTTGACAAGTGGGGCAGGTGACACTATCTCTTCCTGTAAATTCCACATACGGAAACTGAGAGACATCTCCACTTCTTCCATCTTCATTATGGACTTCATTACTAACCAATCCATTCCTCATGTTTTCAGTTGATGCGACTCCACCGTAAGCATCTTCTTTATTTGAATGCAAAGGCAAATGGGAAAAAGACTTTCCCATGTCTAAAGAAAAAGAATAATCTTATAGTAAACTTCACACACAAAACATGTATACGCAAGAACCGTATGGAACATTTATACGAATCTAATTAATTTAGAAAACTTCAGGGGAATATTCATTCAGACAGACTACTTTGGGAATTAGAATTATATTTAATCAAAGTAATGTCAGAAACAATGAAGCCACTTACTTGAGTCCAAAAGTGTTTATCTATCAAAATATCTATATATATATATAAAACCCAAATATGCAAATAGACCAAATGGCGGAACAACCGGTTGCTATGATGTGCGCTGACCACAAGGGGGCATGCGGGGAACATGGCAGGCATCAGCCGTGGTGGGATTATGGAGCAGGTGAGTGGGCGCCAGACCAAGGCAGGGTGCCCGTCGCTATCATCAGGGCGAGCCTCTGGTGGTTACTGAAAATTCTTTGCTCCCGTGTGCTGTGGTCCCGCCTGGTGCTCAATACCATCAGTGGGTGTGAGCGGCAGCTGCTGGCCCCGATCTCCCCTCAGAGATTCTTCACCTCCCCCTGCTCCTGGGTGATCGGGGTAGCAGCCACTGCTTGCACCTGCTGATGGTGCCGGCCCCTCTCACAACCACTGCTGGCGCAGGCCCCAATCTCTCCGCGCTGTCAGTGGGTGTGAGGGGTCGCCATCAGCATGTGGGAACGGTGGCAGCGGGAGTGGAGTTGCCAGCAGACAGGGGACCACGGGCCATGGCGGAGAGGCTGGGTGGGGGTGCGGAGGATGGGCCAAGACCTGCCCCTGTGCCCACCGCAGCCTCGCGGTCCACAGTTCCTTTCAAGTGCATGAATTCGTGCACTGGGCCCCTAGTTATGAAATAGACTTGTGATGAGAATGGGCTTTCAAACAACATTATAATTTAACAAGTCTATACTTTCTCTGAAAAGTAATGTGGGCTTCACATTTCTTAGAATAAAACACAAACACATTACTACCTTTAAACCAATTAGCACCAAAGGCAAAAGTTTCTTTGGGCAGATAACAATTAGGTATCACCAAGCAAATTAAAAGTAGTATTTTTCAATCTTTTAAAATTCATGCTTCTTTGTGATAAATAAAATTTACAATCCCTCTCATCCACACAGTTCTTTGCTTTAAACACTTAAACACTTGCAACAAAAACAACTCAAAAACCAAATTCTACATGTTTTTCTCTCATTCAGCAGTGGGCAGAGCTAAAATTATGAAAGGAACATTCCAAAATATTGACTATAACTTACCCCCACAAAACATCAATTTCAAAATTTTAGCATAACAGTGTCAAAAATAATGTGGGGAAAATTAAGTATAAATTTAAAGCCATTTTTATTATGTGTAAGTTCAAAAACATAACTTATGACTTCTACAAAAATGCATTATCTTCTCTTGATTTGTTTCAATGACATTCAATCCCAGCCAAATCCATTCTTGCCAGGCACAGGTATGTCTTAGGAGAGAAAGACACAGAAGGCAAAACCAGTGGCTCTGTCTGGACCTCATTAGCAGTGGCCTTGAAGAGTCGGCCTCAGAAAGGTGTGCTTGCCCTGCCTGCATGCCTCAGGCATGGCTCAGCTCAACCTATGAACCAGGAGGTCAAGGTTCCGCGGTTGCAGGCTCTATCCCCAGTGTGGGGCGTGCAGGAGGCAGTCCATCGGTGATTCTCTCTCCTCGTTGATATTGATGTTTCTCTCTGTCTCTCCCCCACTCTCCCTTCCTCTCTGAAGCCAATAAAATTAAAAAAAAAAAAGAAAGATGTTTGTTTCCAGGCTAGAGGACAAACACCAGACCTTGTCGGGTACTGGGCATCCCCACACTTCTTACTGAATTGTCCTCAGAACCCTTCTGACTTTAAGCACTTTTATTCCTGGCGGCTGGTTGGCAGACAGAGAGGTTCTAAGCCCCCTTCTCTTCCGTGTGCTCAGAGTGTTGTTTGTTTGTTTTATCGCAGCCTTTTAATTTACTGAAAACCAATATGGAACTCAGACTCGGTATGAAGAGAGAGAGAGAGAGAGAAAAGTACAGCAGCAGTCCATCCCATTTAAATGGGTCGTAACTTTCTGCGATAACGAAGGAAGCCAGTCCCTTCCGTAAGCTACACAAACAAAACAAAACCAAACCCAGCAGACAGTCTACTCCGGAAAGGTTAACACGAAGACCCAGTCAACCGTGCAAGAAAACTCAAAAATGGCAAAACCTGCGGCCTCACAAGGAGGAACCAACCCTGCGCGTCCAGGGCTTGGGCCGCAGCCCGTCCTCACCGCAGGAGTCGGGGTCAGGGCAGGAGTCGGGGTCAGGGCAGGAGGCGGAGGTGGCACAGCCCCTCCATCCACACCGCCCAGCGCTCCGCCCCTGTCGCCTGGCGGGCCCAGCTCCCCGCGGTCTCTCCTCCCTCCGCTCGGGAAGGGGACCTGCGGCCGCGCATCGGGGTCGCTCACCGGCGCCGCGTAGTCCCGAGCTGCTCCGGCGCGGACGGGCCCGAGGACAGGGTCGCGGAGCGCGCGGTCAGGCTGCTGGGCTGGAGCGACTGGCCTGCAGCAGGGTCGCCGCGGAGTCAGGGGGCGGGAGCAGCGCGGGGACGGATCAGCTGATGCGAACCCTGTTGCAACCTGCGCCCGCGCCTGTGCAGAGCGCTCTCAGAGGCGTGTGCGGTCAGGACCCGGCCCCGCGCATGCGTCCTTCCTCCGCCGCCTGCAACCTGAAGCGCAGCGGCAGGGAATGTGCGCGCTTGGGTTTCTTACCTAGGTCTCCCAACACTTGAAGGTAAAAATTGGCTGCCTGGCCCTAGAAAATTTAAAAGTAATAGTGTGACCTCCCCCCCCCCCCCCCGTGGAGGCCATTTCCCTTTACAAAGGGAAAAAACGTGCGCTTCTGCCTCCGCCCTCAGCCGAGCCATCGTCTCGTCTCTGACCGTCGCGGCGCTGGGAGGGGGATGAACTGGACGATAGACTCACGTCTGTTTTAATTTAATTTAATTTAAAAGTCGCACTTATTTTAACTTGGAGCCTCTTGTTCAGTAGAAGGAACATGTACGCAGGAGGGCACCCAGCTGGTGTTCGTTTTGGTTTTGGTTTGGTTGCTTTTGCACACGCGCCCCCCCTCCCGCTTGGCGGCTGGTTAACCAGAGTGTGAGCCCCGTGCTCCCCGCATCCGTGTAACTTGGGCCGCTTTCCTCCGCATCTCAAAGGGTAGGTTATCGCCTTTAGAAAATGAGAGTAACAACAATACACAGTTGTTCTGAGGGTTAAATGACATACAGGGAATCACTGTTCAGCACAGGCGGGACTCATGGCTTGCAGAAAGTTTGACATTTCATGCATTTAAATAACATACTCTCCTAGTATTTGTATCTTAACTGGTAGCTCCTGTGTTTGTAGTTTCAGGTTGTGTATTAATCGAATCAGAGCAGCAATCTCAGGTGTGACAGTAAGTGACGTGGGAGACAGTGGGGCTAGTCAAGGTGGAACTCTAGTAATAGGGAAATCACAGAGATTTTCTTCTTCGGAGGCCATAACTGTAGCTGAAGTTAGAGAATTAGAGGCAAGTTTTGTGTGTTCAGTGGGGCAGTCCGCCAAATCCAAAAGGTCAGCCCAGCTGGGATGGAGCACTTCCAGATTGCAGGGTTAGACAAGATGGTTAGAATTAAAGAAAAAGGTTTCAGGAAGAGGCCATCCTTTTTTTTTTTTTTTTTTTAAATATTTTTATTGATATCAGAGAGGAAGGGAGAGGGAGAGATAGAAACATCAATGATGATAAATCATTGATGGGCTGCCTCCTGCACGCCGCCTACTGGGGATCCAGCCGCAACCCAGGCATGTGCCCTGACCTGACGGGGAATCTAACTGTGACCTCCTGGCTCATTGATTGACCCTCAACCGCTGAGCCATGCTGGCGGGGCCATCCTTAAAACAGTATGAAAACCCTGAACAAACAGCCACCATAATGCAAGTTAAGGATCTAGGCAAAATGTTTGAACAATACATGTACGGTAGGTACTAAACCAAGAGTGGAGCTTAATAAACCAAGGACCTTTAAGGTAAGTTCTACTTACATGTTTCCTACGAAAGGCCAAAATTGTTCTCAAGTACAGGGAGGCCCAAGAGAATCATTGCTCGGCTGCCTCCACCCAGGGGGTGGAGCCCACAACCCTATTGCATAGGTAGAGAAAAGGGAAAGCATGGCTGGAGCAAGAGGCTCTGGGAATAAGAAACAAGGCCAGATAGACAAGTCACAGTGGGGTCCAGTGGCCTTTGCCTACGCGAATGCAAAGGAGAATAGTAAGTTATGTGGGAAGGGGAGAAAAGGAGTACTTTCAGTCTTTTAGTGATTGTCACTACTACTTAATAGAGGAGAATTCTGTTCAGGAACCCTGGAGGAGGTATTCTGAAACGGTTACAAAATAAAAACAAAGAGACCAGTCAGGATTTATAAAGTTATAAGAGACTTGCTCCACTCCACAACAAGCACAAGCCAGAAAAGATTTGTTAAAATCAGTTAAAAAATGATCAGAACTGAGGGCACAAATAAACATGCATAAACTTAAATCCAGATGGTAGTGAGAGCTAAGAGAGGAGGGAATGACAGTTTTTTTCATTTCTTACAGAACAGTTTATGGTACATCTAGTAACTTGTACTACATGAATGCACCCTAAACAGGTAATAGGAGACCATCCAAATGTTGAATGGTTGTGTGTGGGCTAGAATGCTAGATTACATGCTCATGGAGCTCCAGTCCAGAGTGAGTCTTCTGCACCCACCCTCTAACTCTGCCCCAAAGGCCGTAAGTCCCCAAAATTAGCATGTGAAAGTCAGGATGGAACAGTCCCTTTGAGGACTCCAGGCCTTTGTTAGGTGTCCAGAAGCAATACTCTGAAGGCTGGGAGAGGGCAGCAGGATGGAGAGAATTCTACTGAGGCACAGAAAGATAAGACTGGAAAACACACAACAAATATCCATCAAAGGATATACAGTTCCCATGGAATACTAGTCAGCAAAAAACAGGAACAAACTACTGATAAAAGCAACATAATGACTCTCAAGAACATTTTGTACAAAACAGTCTAGATGCAAAAAAAAAAAAAAAAAAAAGTGTACAATCACAATGTGTTTCCATTTACATGAATTCCAAGAAAAGGCAAAATTAATATATGGTTAAAGAAATTGGAAAGTAATTGTCTTAGATAAGGGCAGAAATGGAGAGGAAAGGGGGGGAAAAAAGGAACTTTCTGGGGTTATATAAATGTTCTTTGGTTTGGTTTTTGACAATAGTTAAAAGGTTTCATGCAACTGCCCAAACTCATTTAACTGAACAGTTAGGATTTTTAATTTATTATATGTAGCAATGCTTCAATAAAAAATTAAAAATTCATACTTAGAAAAAGTATTAGATGAACTTTTCTTTGTCATCATGTTACTTCATTTTCCAGCCTGGAGGTTCCTATTTATTTTGGATTTTCATTAATTACTGACACTCAATACTTCATACTTTTATACTTCAACAATAGGTCATAAATTCAGTTCATTAGTTTGGGGCCCTCTTTGATGATGATATTCTATAGTTCCCATTACTATTCAGAATTGGACTCTAAATTCCTATTATATAGAAGATTTGCCTTTATCTGGCCTGTGTTGCCAGTCTCTGCTCCATTTTCTTACTTCTGTTGTCCAAACTGTTTTCCAGGATTTAGAACCTATTGCCACTTCTGACCATCAGTACCTGCATGAACTTTAAAGCCTCCTCTTGTGCCTGTGTATCCTTATCATTCATTGCACTATCTCTGTAGTGCTGCTCCATGAGATAGAGGAACATGTTGGTTTTGAATACTATAAATTTGAAAGAAATTACTTTCATGAAAAGTAAATTAAAATAATGAGGGTGAATGATAAATAGAAGTTGACACTTTGACTCTGTATTTATTATTTTGTAATAATTCTTCATTGTTGAAAGCATTACATATGTCCCCTTTTCCCCCCCCTACCCTGCCCCCACCCCAGGCCTTCAGCATCCTATTGTCTGTGTCCACGGGTTATACATATGTGCATACAAGGTCTTTGGTTGATCACCTCCCACCCACCCACTTTCCCCCGCCTTCCCTCTGAGATCGGCACTCTGTTCCATGCTTCCATGCCTCTGGATCCACTCCATTCATCACTTTATTTTGTTACTTAGATTCCACATATGAGTGCGATCATGTGATACTTGTGTTTCTTTGACTGACTTATTTCGCTTACATCATCCTCTCCAGGTCCCTCCATGCTGTCTCAAAGAGTAAGAGATCCTTCTTTTTTACTGCTGCATAGTATTCCTTGGTATAAATGTACCAAAGCTTTTTTTATCCACTCATCTACTGATGGGCTGTTTCCAGATCTTAGCTATTGTAAAGTGTGCTGCTATCAACATAGGGGTGCATACATTCTTTCTGATTGGTGTTTCAGGTTTCTTAGGATATATTCCTAGAAGTGGGATCACTGGGTCAAATGGCAGTTCCGTATTTAATTTTTTGAGGGACTTCCATACTGTTTTTCATAATGGCTGCACCAATCAGCATTCCCACCAGCAATGTACTAGGGTTCCCTTCTCTCCACATTCTCACCAGCACTTATCATTTGTTGATGGTAGCCTGACTCTGTATTTGAATAGATGCATTTTCTCTTGTACACCTGGTCTGAGCTTATCCTAAACAGTTTGGATGAAACATTTACATTTAATACAAAATCATTGTGTATTATATATTTTAAACTCTCTTTCATTTTTACCATTAGTTATTTTCTGATTTATTTGTAGGATCTTACTGGACAGTGACTAAGAAGAGAAAGAAAATAGGCATATGTAATATCCAGAATTTTGAAACAGACTATAAATCAGCCGTGGGCAAACTACTGCCCGCGGGCCGGATCCGGCCCGTTTGAAATGAATAAAACTAAAAAAAAAAAAAGACAGTACCCTTTTATGTAATGATGTTTACTTTGAATTTATATTAGTTTACACAAACACTCCATCCATGCTTTTGTTCCGACCCTCCGGTCCAGTTTAAGAGCCCATTGTGGCCCTTGAGTCAAAAAGTTTGCCCACCCCTGCTATAGATATTGAGTCCTATAAACCAACAGTTGACAGTGGCTTTAAAGAGCTGATATGAGATGATGGCAGCACCATGCCATTTGCACTTTATTCTAGAGAAGGAGTTAGAGAATATTGTCAGGTACTAGAAAAAAGAAATGAGCATTATGTCCTGCAGAGCTGGCTGTTTAATTCCACACAAGTGTGGCCTTTTATTGTTCCTCTGGTCACATTTGTTGTAACTTTTAGCCCCTCAGGGTCTGACCCTGGACATATGGGTTGAGTGTTTACTAGGATGGCTATTTATTTATCAGGATACTGATACTTCAAATGGAATTGTGCAAACACTCTGCCAGGACACTA